GGAGTGAGGGAGATAGAGACAGAAACAAGATATTTTACAAATCATTGTACATTGCGGGTCAATTAATTCCCACACTTATCATACAGTCTGAGAAGTTGAGAACCTACTAGTCGCTAACTGGTTAGCAGACGAAATGAAAACCTACACGATGCAGAGTGTTGCATATCAGCATGTGACGGGGGCACGGTTACATCAGCAAATACGCAGCCGCTACATGTATCCACGTAGGTTTCAGCCGACTCTGTCTCCCGCTTCCATTCACGAGAAAGCTAAGAGAAGAAGGCCAGCGTCTCACAGCACGTTAAGCTGTGTAAGCTACCAACATGGCGGCAGCTGTACATCGTGCAAGCACCGCAGGTTTCACGCGCGCGTATGTATTGTAACGGCGCAAATGTCAATCGGCAGCTAGGCCTCAAATGACGCTAGCCGTCTGCAATGCTATCCTTGCTAAAACGCCGCGCAGCTTCTCAACAATTAACGGCTTCTTTCCGCAGTGTCTGAGCAACATTGATCGCACTCTACTGCCGCACCTGTTATAGCACACACGCTGAGGATTGCAGAGTTTCAAGAATTGTGCCCGCTACTTTTGCCGCCTCATCTTAATCAATGCTGTCACGCTGTGCATGCGTCTACTCACTAGTTCTGCTGTGGCGGTCCAAGAATAGCAACATATAGCAACACATGTGCCGTGCGCACTATTTCCGACTGATTTTTTTCCGATCCCTCCCCCTGCCATTGTGTAGGGACCTCCAAAGATTAAATCTACAAAAAAAGAGTCGATGACAAGTGTTCCTGGCACACATACGCTGCTAAGAGTTGGCAACCGTGGAGCACCACATGTGGCAGGCACACTGTTTTTGCCTGCTCTTGTAGATTTTTGGAGGTTCCTAGGAAACAGAAGGGGGATGGTCTGAGGACGTGGCCCCCATGTTGGTCTGTTCCAATGAAGAACCCAATGAATCTTTACCACTCGGCTGAAAGAAGATTATAAAACAGCTTAGTAATGCATGCGTAGTGTGATCGCTCACACGTATGCACGGTATACACCCACATGCACCAGCACGTATGTATGCTCAAACACACACCTCTGTATGTACACATGCACACACATACCGGCGAATGTACATCGACATGCACACATACACGCAGACAGACGCACGCACGCATATGCACACACCCATGCATGCACGCACGTACACGCATACACACGCGCTCCCAGAACACCATACTTCAGTGGAATGTTTACTGGTGAGCAATTAACTAATTCAGCTCGCATTGGTTTATCAAGAATATTAGGAAATGATTGCGATTTTATAAACGCCAACGACAATCAAGAAGGACGGGTAATCCGACGACGGTTTTCACCTTGATGAATATGTGAGTGGGCAGCATCGCATCTAGAAGATGATCCAGCACGCCGGCGTATCGCACCATGTTGACATGTAACCGTGGCAACTGCACATAGCCAGCGTACAGCGTGAACAGATTGTAGCTGAGCGAGTGCTTGCTGTCAGGCAATATTCTGAAGATCAGCTGCGAGGAAAGGGGGACAAAATTAGCGTCGTCAGCCTCAGGAACGTGTAGAAAAAAGATTTTCGTTCACCGTGATCGTAAATATGCTGCACCAGGGGTTGAACCTTGTCAACATGTGCCTGGCAGCGGTTTGCTGCTGCTGCTACTGCTACTACCTACTGCTGCTGCTGGCTATCTAACTGCTGCTGCTGCTGGCTGCTGCTGGCTACTACTGCTACTGCTAGCTACTGACTCTACTGATACTACTACTACTACTACTGCTGCTACTGACTGTATTGCTGCTAACTACTACTGACTACTGCTGCTAGCTGGCTACTGATACTCAACTACTGGCTGGGCTGCTCTGGCTACTGATACTACTACTGCTGGGCTGCTGCTGCTGCTCGCTGGCTTGCTACTGCTACTACTACTACTATACTGCGCTGCTGCTACTGCTGCTACTACTGGCTACTACTACTACTACTACTACTGCTGGCTGCTGCTGCTACTGCTACTAGCTGCTGCTGTGGGCTACTGCTAGCTAACTACTGCTTGGCTACTGGCTAGCCTACTACTACTGCCTGGCTACTGCTATTACTAGCTATACTACTACTACTGCTTGGCTGCTGCTGCTACTGCGCTAGCTACTACTGCTGCTGTCTGCTGCTTAGCTACTACTACTACTAGCTCACGAAACTGCTTGCTGCTGCTTACTGCTGGGTGCTACTACTGCTACTACTAGTACTACTCCTATTACGCTGCTGCTGCTGCTACTGCTACTTACTGCTGCTGGTGGCTACTGGCTACTATATACTACTGGCTGCTGCTGCTGCTGCTACTGCTAGCTACTACTACTGCTGGCTACTGCTATTACTACTACTACTACTACTCCTAGCTGCTGCTGCTGCTGCGGCTATGCTACTACTACTGCTGCTGCGTGCTGGGCTACTGCTAGCTACTAGCTACTGCTGCTGGCTGCTACTGCTACTAACTTACTAACTACTTACTGACTGCTGGCTGCCCTACTGGCTACTACTAGCTGGCTAGGCTGCTGGCTGGTGGGTGGCTATTGCTGCTGCTGCTGCTACTGGCTGCTGGGCCACTACTGGCTACTGCTGCTACTGTCGCTGGCTACTGACTAGTGCTAGCTGCTGCTGTTTCAATAAAAATCAAAGTTTAACAAGCATAAACCTGGGCAGCATAGCCACGTGACTAATATTGTCCTGACTGTTAACTCGTCGCCTTTACCTGTTTGTGACCTGATAGCCATAAATGCATGCACTGGACTCCAATGGCGAACTCCATATCTTCTTGAACGAACGGAGTTTCTAGGAACATAAAGCGTGCCTTTGTCAAAACGGCCAAACGTATTTAAGCCTTGTCAAGGCTAAAGGCCTAAGCCTGCAAGCATTTCAAAATCAGCATCAAGGCCCATGTTGATGTGGCCATACAGCGTAGAAGTAGAAGGGCAAAACATAGATTGCTTTAAGTTTCCAAGCTTCTGGTCGACAGATGGCGACTACTGTTACAACAGTCCTCTGCATGACCAGCCATTGGCACACTGTGTGGGGCAGGTGTCAGGTGATGCGTGAATCCCGCGTGTGTTGGATGGTTGGGGCCATAACGCAGGGATGTCGCATGGAACCGCGACAACGGGATGCAGTTCGGGGCCCGCCACTGCTGGCAGCTCGGCCCTGGCTCGTCACAAATGGAGTGGCACGCCTCGGTTCGGCCTCCCCCTGCCTGCAGATAGATGAACGAGATGCAAGAATGTCGCGACTAGATAAGCGTGTATTGCTGGCTACCCGACACAACGGGCCACACTCACACTGCCCCCTTCCACGCACAGGGCGGTGGCTATGAGTGTAACCTCCTCCGCTATATCACCCTCAACCCATCATTTCTAGAATGTATACTTAGATATTCATTCCACCCTCCGGCACATTCCACGCACGGGCTGGTATGAGTGTAATCTTGATATATACCCACAATCACTTCTAAAGAATCGAGTATAGCTTTAATATTCATCGGCACACACTTCCATGCACAGGTAGTGTGAGTGTTCTATACCTATCTGTATATACCTAAATCCGCGTCCTAGAAATGTACTAAGCAGATTTGTTTGGCTAAACCCTCTAAGCGAGGCGCGCATCCCTTCCGTGCAACCGTGCAGGTCTCCTCCTCGTCTCCCTACGCAAATGAGCTGTCAATTGGTTCCTCTTGTGTACAGCATGAGGCAATGACAGTTTCATTCAGCCAGTAGTCGCCATTCGATGGCGAAAAAAAACGAGCCCATGTCGATATCGCAGGGACTGTTAGACGAGGCGACGAGGCAACGGCACTCAGACGCACGGTCATCCGTCCACAGCGTCACTGCAGAGCAGAGAATGAGAAGAGAGCTTTTTTTACGTGGTGGGCGATTTCTGATAGATCACCGGATTATTAAAGTACGCTAATAATATTATATAAAGCCGTTTCCGCCGAAATTCAACACAGAAAATGTTTTGAAAAATGGTCGCTTTAGCAAAAAAATAAGGACTATTAAGTGCTTTTCCTAAGATTCCAGCAAGAAATAAGTAGCTAATAAGGGCCCTTTTTGGCAAAATAAGTACTTATAAGACTTTGGAAGACCCGCTACGAACCCTGTACTACTCATTGATAGATTTGCCAATGCTCATAGTCAGAGCACGAAACAAGGGCAAGCGACACGACACACACACACACTGATGCACGCACGCGCATTCACAGGGATGCACGCACACAGGGACACACACACACACACGCACTGATTCACCCACGCACGTTTGCAGGGACGCGCGTACGCAGGGACACACACACACACACACTGATGCACGTACGCAGGGACACACACACCAGACACGCACGGCACTGATGCACGCACGCAGGGACACACACACGCACGCACTGATGCACGCACGCAGGGACACACACACGCACGCACGCGCATTCCCAGGGACGCACACGGGCACCCACAATGAGCATATACACGATGCTGTTGACACACCCGCAGTGTGGCATGTGTACGGAAGCCGAGAATGAGACCCGGTAACCTTACCATCGCTGAGCTGCGATGGACATTCCTCATCCGCAGGCTGCATGGCTTTGTGCAGGGTCAGCGAGCTGCCGTTGATGACCAGTGGCCACGGGGACAGTGATCGCACCTCGGTGAGCAGGAGGAAAGGCTCGTCCACATACACCTTGTTCATCGGATCAAACTGCAACCGGGAAACCACGAAGCCCCATTGAAACACATCCGTTCACTTTTCGTAAAGGCGGTTCAAACGCTGGAACGGTTCAAGCGCGGTTGCTGATAAAATTGCCGACGTGTCGATCAAACCAGTTACGGATAGAGTAATTAGTCCGCACTCGCTACCTATACCATAGCAACCCTTGTACACTCTCCACCACGCCATCTCATCACCTGCAATCGTCCTGAACGCACCTCCATGCTCGCCTGTGCATGATATCCTTTCTAGTGATAGCTCCCTTGCTAATTGGAGGTCACTCTTAATGTGTTTTACACTTCCTTCCCACGCAGGTGCATGATAGTGATATAGCTCTCTTGCTAATGAGGGGTCACTCTTAGTTTGTTTCAGATTAAATCACAAAAGTGAATACTGTAATGTCGAAACGATATTCCGCCACAATCGCTATCCTGTCATTCGCACTAACCGTTCGCTCTTACCTGTAGTGACTGGAAGCCAATGGGTTTTGCATGAATCAGTTTAATATTTTTTTCTTTTTCAAAATCCAGTCACAGGGAATAAGGAGCTGCCTTCACAATGCGTATAACAGAAGTCCTTACCCTCATGTTTGCTAGGCGCTGGCTGATTTCAAACGGTTCGATTGCCTCCACAGATGCTAGCACCTGCTTAACGCACGTGCAGGGGAGCATTCTTGTGTCGACGTCCACGGATACCTTGTACGTCACCTGAATGAAGCCATGCATATAATCAGATGTCTGAGCCCATGACGTAACCTCACTCCTCGCTACTCCACAAATTTACATACGGTAATAACCCCCATGTTAAGCTATAGGGAATTTTTAAATTACATCCATTAAACTAAGTGACCCGAATTTTTTTTAAAGAATGAGTGGAATTTCTACCGAAGAAAGTCGTGTGGTCAATTGCCATCAGTAATATGTTCAACAATAAATGTATATGCATGCAATTACACATGTCGCAATCAGTTCTTATGCAGCTAGCTGCCACCAAGTCAGACGAGCCAGGTTTGAAACGTGCGGCTAGCCCTTTACACAACTTCCCACACATGACAGGAAATGTTTACGCATTCCGCGTGAGTGTGGAACGTTTGTGTTTCTGCGGTCAGTCCGATTCTTCCCACTGTACTCTAGGTGCATGGCACATGATTTACATGTATTGTCTCTAGTGTACGTAAATTGATTTCAAGATGACTGGAAAGCAGTCATCGAGTGCAAGTGGAAGTAATGGTGCTAAAAGAACCCATTAAAGAATTACGTCAGATATACTTAAAACTTGACGTTTTACAGAGATTTGATGTGGGAGGAAAACTTAATCCCGTGGCAAAAACATGGCTGCTACATCTGCAGTCGCTACAACGTGATTATCATCGCAAAATTAGGTCCAGCATACCTGAACAGCATTCTGAATATGAGCAAGTTCCTTTAAGATGATCTATTGATGACCATAGCAAGCCTTACCTTCACACTGAACTCTCTATTGCCACTCTTTAGGCATCGTGCATAGACCACTCTGCTGCCCTGCAATAAGACAATTGAATAGACATACCCAAGAACATATATTTCGAGGATTTCAAACGTTTGTATGATGATGTAGTGCATCTTTGCATCAAAGAAAGTGCCAAGCGCCTATTTCACAGTGTGGCTACGGTGGCTCCATCGTGCTCAGTGTTATAATATCACGACTATGCGAATTAGTTGTGACATATGTTATAACATTGATCTAACATCATGATAGCGTTAACGTTAGAATCAGTGTCACAATCCATGCTATAGAGTTATCATTAATGTTACGTATGTGAACGACATCAGCACTTGTTGGCACATATGTTGGCACACTTGTTGGTCAGCACATATGTTGGCACACATGTTGGCACATATGTTGGCACACTTGTTGGTCAGCTCAGAATGAAGCTCGGAGATCGAGAGCCAAACAGCAAAATAAGCGAACAGCCCATGCGCAGCGTGGGTATCCCAGCATTGACTCCGCCCACCTGGCTAGCCCAGTATGAATGGCTTTCTGGGGCTGGCTTGCAGTTGGCACATACACCTTACCTTCTCCTGTGGCTTCAGAGAGCTGAGTCTGAGTAATGGAATGGACTGCACAGGTTGGCTGGCTGGCTCCTCATGTAGTATGGCTGTATAGCATCACACCAGGCAGGCAGTACAACATTAGGTAAGATATAATTTTTCGAGATAAATCCAAGTTACACTAGTATAAAAAAAAATCTTTACATTTGAATATCAATGTCAATATGCATTGACATTTTCATTAGAACTTGACAAAAATGTTTAGATAAATTAATCACACCTATACTGGAAGTTCTTAGAAAAACGTCATCTTAACGTGGGAATATATAAGCGCATTTCAGTTTAGATTAAGGTTTAAAATCTTAAACGAAATAGTGCTTAAGAATGCTGGCAATGCACCCATTGGACTGATACCATGTCCCTAGCACCCTGCTAAATGGCATAACACACAAACCACGTTTCAATGGAAATGGCAATGAAGGTTTTAAAGGGATACTTTCCCTTAGTATTTTAGAGTATATTAATAGAAGCAGAGATAGAGATAGTAAGTGCAAATTTTAAGTCAAACTTTAAACCAGCAAAATTGGTTTAATAAACTACAAACTCACTCATCTCCTGCACGGTGCTGCCACCTACTTCTGCGACGAGACTGACACTAATCGTAATGTCGATAATCTCCACCAGCTCTGTGTTGACTACTGTGATGGTGAGTCTGTAGAACTCATTAACGAGTGCAGGCGTGCTGTGTGCAACCCTCACATCCAGGTTCGCCTCACGTGGAATTATACTACATAGAGAAAGGTAACGAAGAAATCAGAGTCTAAGAAAATAAGAAAAATGAATATATATTGAGCAATAAGGGTAGAAAGAGAAAGGTAATCAAGAAAGCAGTCTAAGGAAATAAGAAAATGACTATATATTGGGCAATAACTGTAGGTAATAACTGCAGGTTAATTGTAACAGGTTTGTCTGAATTACTGGTCATGTACCACCATCAGGAATAATCACATTAATAATAATAATAATAATAATAATAATGACACTGAATCAACATGGATCTTATACAATCAAATTTACCTATCAGTAAACGGTATACAACAAACAATTCTAGCATTGCAACAACAAAGCTTCGTACCTTGCACATGAAAGAATTGCGATTTTATCCCAAGGAACATGTGATAAATCGGCACCAGGTGGCACCTTTTTGGTTGGTGCAAGAATCGTCGGTGGTTGCAGCACAATGTCGCCTCCGCCACCCATCCAATGCAGTGTTGCACAGCAGCTGGACTCAGTGCACAGACTCAGTAGGATGCCAGTGACCTGGAACCCATAGTCAGCCAACAAAATTAGTCTTAACATTAGTCTTAACAATAACTTTGTCTCATAGACCGCACCGCTATGCACTGCATATGAGAAATTCGTACTTTACGAAGTTTCTGTCGACAGTCTATGAGAAAAAAATCGATGTTAAGACAAATTTTTATCCTGACAACAGGCGCCTGTACCATCAAATTGTATTACAAATACTAGAGACAAAAAAAAATCATACAGATATACCGACAGGCAACAACAGTGGATAATAATAACAACAATCATAACTACGTCAATGATTCTACAATAAATTCCCGGAAAGGCATCTAAACAAATTTTACGTACAAATTTTTGACGAGATTAAAATTTTGTTTCAAGTGCTTCCTCACAGATTTAATTTGATTGGATTTAATTTGATTGTGAATTGGATTGTGAACCGTGGATGCATGGAAATGTTGCGTTATAGAAACGTATAAGATTGTGAGTAACTTAGGAGCTGTTTATTCACACGTCAGTGTGGCTTGCTTACATGATGTAAAGAAAGCGACTGCCTCACGTGCAGCGCTTATATACGGCAGTCTGGTAGCAGGAGCCACCATCACTAGCTATATGTTAACACTTGAACACGCGTTAACCAATGGTGTAATCACTAACACAACAAGAACAACGTGTTCTGCGCACCTCTAAGTCTGATCCGACATCTGATGGATCCACTGTAAATGAATAGACCTTCACAAGTGTTTTCCCTGGGTGAAGGTAAAGGCTACTCTCCTTCGTGTCCGCGATGGGCAGGTCATCAGACGTGATGCAGTACTGGTTGTACACCTGCACACATGCACACAGATGATGATTAGGACAGGCATTCATGTTCCTAAAGAAAATCGTTGCTACATGCCCATTACCTCTCTCTCGATCTCTCTCTCTTTCTCCCTCTCTGTCACCATTCTACTCTCTCTCTCTATCCCTCCCTATCTCCCACCCGTCACTCTTTCCCTCCCTCCCTCCCATCTCTCTCTCTCTCTCTCTCTCTCTCTCTCCCCCCCTCTCTATCTCTCTCTCTCTCTCTCTCTCTCTCTCTCTCTCTCTCTCTCTCTACCTCTTCACTTACACTCTCTCATAATTTGTCACGATCCTTCTCCCACTCTTTCGCGCAATTCCATACTCTCACTACGCACTGTGTCACTATACAGTTAGATGCGGACAAACTACGAAAACACTGCTGAGCCTATGCCCTCCGCATGCGTCCGTGCAACGTCCACCAGCAGCCCTGCTGGTTCGCGCACTCACTGTGTTGCTGAACATCACTGCAAGCCGGGAGAAGCGGATGGGCAGCGGTGCATTGTTGATCAGCGCCACCTTCAGCACGACCTTCGAATCGCCCGTGAAGCTTTCGGCAGCGAAGCTCGCCTTGCACTCCACTGGAAGACAATGCGGGATGCGTAACCCTCGGTAACCGCTCTCAGTGATGTCGCCCCGCATAGCGAGCAAGACGCATCACATTCAGCCAAAACAACCCAATGATCAAGCGGAATTACAAAGTGGCAAGCACTAGCAAGATTATATATCACATCAAGAGCTAATAATACCTATTATTAGCTCTTGTTAGGTAGTTATTCGGTATTATCAGCTCTTGATCACATCCCATTAAATATGTGACATTATATATGAGAGGGCTCGCCTCGCGTGTGGAAGGTCGAGGGTTCGAATCCCGACCTGGTCATACCAAAGACTTGAAAAATGGTACACACTATTTCTCTGCTTAGCATTCAGCAAATAGAGATAGAGTGTGGAGAGTTAACTCGCAGTGCTACCAGTGGACTAACCCCCCGCTGTAGTATTTACTTTGAAAGCAGCTGCGTGGCCTAGGGTTAAGGAAACGTAGATAGGCACTGCCCTATGCGGCACATAGGCACGGGAAGGGATTTAACTTTTAACATATATATATGAGATGAAATATGTAGGGACGAAAACAGAGACGGTTAGCACACTAACTTCACTTCATTTCGAACACATGACAAACTGCCCATAAGCCGAAAACTCACCAAAGGATGTGATGTTGTTCATTTCGATGGTAAACTCGCACTTTTCGCCACCAGGGGTCGCCCGCCACAGGCCCTTGCTCTGCTCCACGCTGTCGTGTTCACATCCGTACTCAGCTTCCGGTGACTCACCCTGCACAAACAAAAACACAGTAAATAATCTATAATCCGAAACCCTTGGGACCAGAAGTTCTTCTTCGGAAAGACCCTTCGGAATTTTTCGGATTTCAGAATGGTAGTACAGTACAGATATATACATACTGTATATCCTAGAATTAGCCAGTACTAAAACCCAAGTTTTCAAGAGGCCAAGTGATGTACTGGTACAATACAATATGTATGAGTAATGCCAAACACATTAATATTTCTGCAGTGAACCTTGTGCAGCCAAACGCGAGCTTTGGTGTGCAGACGACCTCCACGAAAAAACTTCAGGGTTTCGGAGCTTTTCGGTTTTCAGAATTTCGGATAATAGATTGTGTACTGTAATACACATCTCCTACAGTTTCCTTCCCACAAGAACCGATAAGATAACATCTGCAAACACTACTAACGTACTCCGTATACCAGCTACCACCCATCGCCCCGTCATGACGTCGCGAAAGATTATAGACACTGCCAAGACGAGGCAGCGTAATTTTCCGGTTGCCACGGTTACTCGCGTCCTACCTGAAGCACCTTGAGTAGGTTGACTTGAATGCGAGTTTTCTCCTCGCGCGCTGTCTGCGCGTATTTTCCCATCAGCTCTATAGAGATGGTGACGTAGTCGCGAATGCTTCGCACCAGGTACGCACACCTAGGATAGACGCTCAGTGTTAATGACTGGTCTAGAAAGATGCGCAGGTCCAAAATCACACACAGGTCAGGACTTATTGCTATAATTCATTGTTGATATATATATATAAGTAAAAACACATGGACACCCATGAAGAGATAAGATAAATTTAAAAATAGAAATAGGTGTTAAAATGTTATAAAATTTTGACACCTATTTCTATT